TTATTTTACAAACAAGTATTCATGTAGTCTTCTTAAAAGGGGCAAAGTTAAATATGAAAAATGTACAAACCTCCATTTTCTTTCAAGCGGTCTACGAGTTGTTGAACTTGTGTTAAAACGTTCTCTGCAAATGGTAAAAGATTTGGGTCAGTGGAAGGACCATCGGAGGCGGTTCTTGTGTCTAATGGCCTGGAGTTTTCGGGTCCAGATGGAGGAACATTAGGTCCTCTATTATTCATTCTTTCCAAAAGTTCCGAGGCGGCTTGAAGTGGATTTCTTCTTCTCATTGGACCCAGTCCCATTGGCCCGGGCCTTGAAGGAAGATTGGACGAAAACGGACTTCCTGTTGGACCTTGGAATCCTTGTGGTGGGCGTCGAGCAAAGGGCGATTGAGGATTGAATGGTGGAAGTCCAGGTCTTTGGTCTAGTGGCTGACGACCGGAAGTTGGTAAATTTGGGAATGAAAACCCGGAAGATGGTGACTGTGGATTTTGAGGAGGTAGTTGAGGTGTGTCTGATAGCGATGGGAGACTTGGTGTTTCAGTCAAAGAGTTGTCTGTGAGTGAAAGGGGTGGTAAATCGGGTGTTTGGGAAAGAGGTGGTAAATCGGGTGTTTGGGAAAGGGGTGAAGATGGCGTTTCTGTTTGCACACGTGGTAATGGGGGAAGCTCTGGGGGGCTCGGTAAGGGGGGAAGTTCAGAGAAAGATGGAAGTGGAGGCAATTCTGGTGGTGTGGGGTTTTCAGGAATAGTAATTGTCGGTGCACTTTTTTTCTGTGAAGAAGCTACTCTGTTCGATTCTTGTAGACTCATTGGAATTCCAACACTGGTATCTGTATTCGAACTGGAAGCTGGTAAATTCGGCAGAGTAGGCGGTTGTAGTGAAAAGAAATCCGGAAGTTTCTGTGCCTCGTTTTGAGATGGAGATGAAGATGAAATTGGGTCTGTGTTCATGAGGTCAAGTAATGACGTCATATCTGTTGATCTTGGAGCCCCGGGATCTCCCATTCCCCCGAGAGTTTCTGTTATTAGTCTTTCAAGGTCAAGGTTAATGACTTGGTCTGCTGACCCGGCGTTTGTGGCGGATCCACCAGCGGTTCCGTCATTGAAAATGATATCTGATGGCAAGTCCGGGGTTACGCGATCTGAAGCTGTTCTTGCTGCTCCCGTCAAAATGGGGTCGGGTTCAGGTGGTGGGGTGGTTGTTGTCTGTTTAGACTGTATATTTAACGAATCTTTAAAAGAAAACAAGATTTTTATTTATTTCATCACGTCTACTAACAACATAATTGATACTGATTGAAACCCTGCGTAATGGTTTTCAGATTTGATTTTAATCAACGTTGTCATATGAAATCTGAAAATTAGACAGGAATTCAAGAAACTTTTTTCCCGCTTGCCAAAGCTTTTTCAGGAAATTAATTGGACCTTAATGAACAACTGGTACATGCAAGTTAAACAATATCAATTTTGACTGTAGATATATTATCCTACATTATAGATACATGTAAACAATTTAAAAGGGAAAGATGGCGTATAATTTCAGATCACTCCACGTAGCGAAACGCATTAAATCGTAAAGATGAACTTGATTGATAAAACAATTTAAATTAAACTATTGGTAAAAATATTAAATATTAATTAATTATAATACATACCGATATTAGAAAAGTTGCACGCGAAATTCAAGGAAAGTAAAAGAAAATCCCAGTATTAGAAAATTTTGACGTCAATTAAAAACCACATTTTTTAATAATAAAAAAAACCCGGATCTTTAATGATCAGTTAGTTGGGTTAAGCCTCACCCTTCAATAAAAACGTATTAATGGTCTGTTCATTCACGTTTATAAGACTTAGTCATGACACCTTGACTGTCACCTATGTTTGTCAATACTGTGTGCATTTGTAGCCCGCCTTCCTGGTTTTAGAGTCACCTCATTTGAACTTGACCAAAAACGAAAAAATCTTATCAAATTAAGAATTCAAATTTTAAAAAAGGAAACTCTATAATATGCACTGCCGGTTTGATGTGCTTCACCACTTAAAAAGTTGTCATCTGGCCAATGCTATATCTTTTTTTTAACAAAAAGTATTGTGACCCCAAAACATTTTCCTTTTCAGTATTGAGAGGGGAAATATATATATAAATACTAGTATATACATGTATACATTGAATATGATAAAAGCGGCGTAAAATGCCCTAATTTGCAATAAAATATTTATATTGATAGCTTCCTCTTTGACATACGAATTCTTCCTTTTATATTAGAAAAAAATTGTAAAATGAAAAGTTAAAAGCAATAAAATGTAAGCAATACTTACTTAAATCTGGTAGTTGACCCCTGACCTGTGATGATACTGAAAAAAGACAGAGATAAAGGATTGATTTGAATTTTGTTTGGTTGGGTGTTGATTTATTTATTGTGAGAGAAAGGACAGATGGTATGTTGGATTGCTATACAAACATTTTCCTTGCTTCAAAGATTTGGGGGTTTTAATTTCTTTACTCTGTACGTCCATATATCTGTTTGTTTGTCAATCTGTTTAGTCTAATTGTCTGTCAAAATGTTAACCTTGTCCATCATCTTTGATTGGCTGGAACTGTGTTTATCATATTCCTCAGTGCATGACAAGACCTTTCTTTGACCTTGGACTTGAGACTAATGCAACATTTTACTAAACTTCACAGTAGATTTGGTCATGACTTTTCAACGGTTGAAGCAAGGGAATCCTTTAGTAAGTGTATACTTCATGCGATAAATTTTTTTTTTTGGAGGGGGGGGGTTATATTTATATTGACCTTTTGATGATGAGCTTTTATAATGAGCTACCATATTTAAGGGTATTGGTTTTTTTTTTGGTACAACTGCAGGTCCATTTTTTTTATGTTCCGTATTAAATTCCCCACTTGAAGATTATGTCTCAGATAAACTGTTTCAACCTCAAAAAAGTATATTGTAAGACAATAAATGTGAACGTGGGTTGTCTCAGATGAATTACTGTCAGAATTGTTTAAGTGTACATGACGGAATACAAGAAAAATATACATCATAGTGTGCGCATGCACAGAATACCGAACATCAAATGTATAAATAATTCACATCCTCTTAAAAACGTTTTCACTCGCAGTTTTTAAAATTTATGTATGCTTGTAATCTTATTTTTTGCGATTTATTTAACTAAAATAGCCGGCTTTTGACCTTCATAAAGATAATTCAATATTTTTAGGTCATTCTTATTTTTTATGAAACTGGTCACGTTTAATTTCTTTTACCGGAAATCCCCTTCAACCAGTTAAAAGTTTGTGTACTTAATAAATCTTCATCAAGAATGTTTTAATTTTGTTGTTTTTTGACAGTAAAGTTCGTTTTTCTTCAACGCCCATTTTTGAAATGTACATGTACTTTTAAATTAGTGGAAACAAACGCTGAAAATTTTAATAACTAAGTTAAGTTAATAAACAACATTAGGAACGCTATTAATCAAATTGATGCTAAACGAATTATGAAAATGTGCGCATAAGTAGATTTAAATCCGGAACTTTGCTGTTCCAAGAAACCATACTTAATTGGACGAGGGCGAGGGCATATGAATCATTCCGCCGTAAAAGGATGCAGTTTATATATTTTTTCACCTTATTTTTTTCCATCTAATACAGCATTTTTTTAATTCCGACCAAAAGAAAAAATGTAATTATTCATTCCTTACAAAAAGTCAAATTTTTTTCTAATAGTTTATAAATTCGGTTCGTGTTCGTGCCAGCAAAAAACAAAAAAGAAAAAGAAAGGATGGAAAATAATTTATACATGTATATATAAAACGTATATATATAAATAGGAACTACTACAGTATATGATATTAACACGTTTTGTTTACGCTTTAGATAATATAGTTGACAACTGTTCTTTACAATGTTCAGAGTTGTTTACAACTAATAATGGTTGTAAGCTGTCGAGAAGGCATGCTTTGTTATAAATACGCCATGAAGAATGGTAGACGACTTGATACAAAATTCCTTTTAACGATAGGATATAATTTATATGCTCAGATGTCCCGGAAGTATAGCATTGACACTTAATATTAAGAACAAAATATGATAAAATGTCCGTGTGTTGAAATATTCTTAGCAAGGCGGATCTCATAAGGGCACTGCAATGCTCGAACTTTGCATTTATTATTTATTTTTGTCAAAAGAAATGTCAGAAAACCTCGATTGTGTGAAAACGCCTCATTTCTATGCATATGACTGATCGAAAGGAATTAACATTTTGACACAGGGACTCGATCAATACCAAATGATGCACACATCCTGATCACGAGAGAGTTTTATCCTTTAATGAAGAAAGAAAGCATTACACTTCAGTTTGATTTTAATTTAGCTACAGACTAGAATTTTTAACATAAGAAACTTAAAATAAATATCCCTGTCCCTATTCCTCAACTCACTCACTCCTTCAATAAAAAAAAATAATAAAAAACTAAAGTTTATATTTTGAATTGTTAAACTCTGAATCATTCATTGACTAGTACTTTTCTATTAATTAGTGTTTTCATCATACATATTAATTTTTCACTTTGTCTCATTGAAATAAAAACTCTTGTCATAAAGAAAAGAATCATCCTTAAATATGACCGCAAACAAATTACAAAAGGCTGATTTGAGAACCCACCTTACACTGGGACTTGAAGGTGATCATTCATGCATTATTCTTAAAAATGCGCGTTTTTGACGAATAATGGTTTGTTAGCTTGCACTAAGTAAACACATTACAATTAGATAATTAATTACGATACTTTTCATTTTGATATTTAAATACAGTCACAATGCAGTCGCAATTTTTAACGTTCGTGTATATAGTTAAAAATGATAAATTACTATAACTTTAAAGTATGCACTGCCTTCGATTTATTTACACTAAACCCATTATAGCATGAATAAAATAATTTAATCTGCTGCACATGTAAACCAGTGTGTAAATTGTTTGTGTAAAAATAAACCCTTTATTGGTCATGCATTTCATAATGTCTTGCATTTTGTATAGTAGAGAGTTTAGGTACATCATTGAAAGTAAAGAGAATTTTGTATTGAAACCTATCCCTTAAATATTACACAACTCCTTTCCCTAACTGGATATGCTGGAATTACCCCCCAAAATAAAACAACTTGCAGCATAAAACGTAGAAATATTTTGATGATTGAAAGTACAAATTTATCCGTATGTCACATTTTATGTAAAAGGATTTTTTTTCATCAAGAATTGAAAGTTCGTGATATGAACCAGAACTAGGACCTTTAAAACCTTTACACTTATTATGTTCCCCAAACGAAGTTGGGGAACATATTGTTTTTACTCTGTTTCTTATTATTATTATTTTTCTTCTTGGGAAAATTTTGTCCGCGAATGATCTTGTAAACTACACATCCGATTAAGGGGAAACCTTTTTAGGATAAGTAGGCATGTTATGTAGATTTGCGGAACGAAGGTCATTTTGCGCGCACGTGCTTGCAAGAGCGCGCACGTGCAACACGTGAAATGACCAATATACTTGAAATTGCCGTAACTTTTACATTTTTTGATGTAATGCTTTGATGTTTAGAATATATAGACATATTATAATTATAGATAAGATGACATTGTCAACATGCCATTTTGCGCGCACATGCTTGCAAGAGCGCGCACGTGCAACACGTGAAATGACCAATATAATGGATATAGCCGTAACTTTTCTATTTTTTGATGAAATCTTTTGAAATTTATAATGTAAGGATATATTAGTAGCGTAGACAAGATGACAATCAAAAAAGCAAGATCTCACGCGCATGCACGTGCGCTTCGCTCTGATTGGCTGAAACTAAAGTCTCTATATCTTTCTTGTTTTTCGACGAAATCCTATGAAATTTTGAACATAGCCATGCATTAAGATATCCTACAACATGATGTATAGCAATTATCATGAAAACACGTGCATGCACGTGTGTTGCAATCTGATTGGCTTAAACTTTAAATAGCTATAACTCCATTAGTTTTCAACCAAACAGGATGGAATTTGGAACATAGATAGATATAATGAACTTCTACAAGACGGTATGGTAACCATGCACATGCATACACGTGCGTTGTAATCTGATTGGCTGAAACTTTAAACAGCTATATTTCCCTTGGTTTTCAACCAAACGGGGTGGGATTTAGAACATAAATAGATGTAAAGGACTTCTACAAGAAGATATGGCCACCTTGCTCATGTATGCACGTGCGCGCACATGATATGAGATAAATCAAAATACACTTGAATAAGCGTATTTTTTTTTTATACTTTTGGATTAAATACTTTAATATTTAGTGTATAAAAAATATATACATTGTGTAGACAAGATTATATGGTCATTACGTACATGCATTCACATGCGCACGCTTGCAATGCTAAAATTTGAATGAACTTGGCGTTGTTAAAGTCTCAAATGCATAGATTTTGTCCTATTTAGTGAAGCTTACAGGGAATATGGCAACAAAAGGGAGTTGGGGAGCGTTTGGGGAACATCTGTAACGGTCCCCGTTACAATTAGCACTAGTTAATTACAGTTTCAACAGCGATCCATCAATGTGTCAGTTTTTATTATCACTGTATTTTAATTCATCAGCGGGGAAAATTCTTATACTGCTTACAGAAATCGTACAAAATGGCGATATAACGTGTAATTGGAAAAAAGGAACTCTGAAATATGAAGAGAGAGAGAAAAAAAAATAATTATGCTACTCATGCACGAATTTAATAAACTTTGCTCTCCAAATGATGTAAATGATATTAACCTGATGCAGTATTAAAATGTCAAGTTTTAATATGTATCCTGTATGTTTTACTGTTATAAATAAGTTTACTGTTTCATCTGAAATACTTTCAATACAGAAATTTTACAAATACAAATGTCAAGTTTTAAGGAAAGAAATTTTAACCTTTAAATATTGCTCCTGAAAGACTAAAAAAAATTGTGATACTTAATCACAAAATTTTAACTTTGACATTTATATTCAAAACGTTAAAGTGAAAGTCGTATATCATTTATACAGGATTTCATGGCCACGGTTGGCATTGTGATTTATCTGAAGCAAAACAACACAATACCAGGAAAATATTAAAGAGAATCAGTCTTTTCTGCCATTTGTCATTAAAAGGCCGGATGTATGAAGCGTTAACTATAAGGATAAAGGGGATATTGGATTCCCTTGCCTTATTCCCCTTGGGCGCTGATGCAAGAAATAACTAATTCCTTAACAGTGATTGAAAAGGTGAATTAGTTTGATATGCAAAAGAAAATTTGCATTAGTTTTGTCGTTATTTATCACCTTTAAAATATACAAGGTCATTTATTATGAATTATTCAAATTACCGGCGGATGTTTCATAATTAAATTAGAACTACATGTACTTCATTTCAAATCTATATGTGAATGATATTATCTTATTCTTGAAAAAAGGGATGTTCGATAAAAATTAGGCAAAATGTGAATTTTAAACAGTCGCAATGTATTGTTCCCCAGTACATGGAAGAGAGAGAGAGAGAGAGAGAGAGAGAGAGAGAGTAAGGGAGAGGGAGTTACCAGTATATACACAACATAACTATCCATTTTATTGTTCACTAACAAGTTAAATAACACTAGAAATTCAAATCTGCAGTTGACATGCTCTTAATAGCATACGCTTTTTCGAGGCATACTTAATTCTAGGGGTGAGATATTAATAATCAGGCCCTTGTCTTAAATACACGAATGACCTTGCTTCTTTTGTTCATTCTTAATGGTAAAAAGGATATTTTAGGGGCCTTTTCTAATTGTGGAGTATTTTTTTTTCTCACTGACACTTTTGTTGATAAAACTTTGCAATGAACAAGCCAAAAATACACCTCAGTGACTAAGAATAGTTTTATCTAACTAAAAGTGGGAATGAGTACATTTGCCTTAGTTATATATTTCATAATTAATTTATGAGAATAGAATTAACTGTAAATGGGTCAAGAACACTAAATAAGAAACAATCATGTCATAATAGAACACAAAACATGTCTTAATAGAACACATTTCAGAAAATAATCCACAGTCGTAGATCATTGGTAAAACTGAAATTATTGAAATAATTTAAAGAAAATATTTTTTCCCCATTTGTTTTAATCAATGCAAGAAACGTATTCAGTATAGATTTTACAATCGAAGATCATTAATGAATATCAAAATGCTTCACATTAATTAAAAAAATCTTTCCAAATCGTTTTGAAGACGAAAATAATAAAAAACGAATAAAAAATATGTAAGTACTTACCACATAATGATATTATCAAGAGTACAAATTTATGCGCCATCTTTCATCTGTGTTAAAAGGTATAATGGGAATAATCATCATACATGAGTTATTGAAGCATAAACCCGATACGCTTGGTTTACTTGACCTTTAACCGAAGTAACGCGCACTAGTGGAATTGACAATATGAATTGACGATATAGAGGGAGAAAGAGACGTGTTATAATTAGTCATGATGTGTGTTAATTTCCTTCAAAGATCCAAAGATAAATTGCGGTTCGTCACACCTTTATGCGTATGAATTTAATTTACGCGGAATTACCGCGTTCTGATTGGTGGATCATAGTGGGCGATAAACAAACACGGGGCGGGTAAAAAAAAGGATTTTGGAGGAACTTTAACGCAGGAAATGAATGTTTATCGTCCTCTATTATCGAATACATGGTCAGAACAATGGAAAAATGGATATATATATATATTTTTTTTTTTTCAGAAGAAGAGTAAAAATGTATTCAAAAGTCTTTCTTTAATTATTATTTACATAATTTCGCTCATTTCGTATTATGGCACTTTATGTTGTAAATTTTGTATATTTACATCCGCTGAATATTTTCTCCTTTATTTCTTAAGAAAACCCATTGCGTTAATCACTGCATGAACTACATTCGGCATGTTGCCTGTACAGATTTCTTGATCAGTGGCTGTTCCATCAATGAAACGTATAAAGACGTTCGCATCATTAATACATTAATTTATCTTTTTAATCCTACTATAAATAATTATTTAAACAGATATAAATATAAACAATAAAATGTCTTTCTTTGTTTGTTATTACTGGAATTAACGATCGCAGCTATTCCAAAAAAAATTTACCTAACCCGCTTACGCGGGTTATGTATTTTTTCTGCAACAGCTGCTTCCGTTAATTTCAGTAATAACAAACAAAGAAAGCATTTTATTGTTTAAATTAACTGCCACCAGGTAAATTCAAAATTTACAACATGACGGCATCCTCTTTTTATTCTTGCTTCAAAGTACTAACTTGTACTTCAATTACAACCATCTTCCATGAAATTTCGTATTTAATTAATTTTATCAATCGTTAACCTACCATAACATTTCTAACAATGTATACATGGTTCGCTTCAAATTACATTTATTCTTATGTAATGAATCCTTCAGGACGTTCTTCATCAAGAACCTTTATTGATATTGGTTCCTCAAAAATCGTAATTTTTCAAGACTTGACAGGAATATCAGTTTCAACTTCGGTCAAGTTTATTGTGTATGATAAAGCCAGAGTCTTACGGTCTCTAATTTTATAAAACTTCCCTTATTATTTTCTTTCATTTTATAAAGGTAGAAATGAATTTATAGGGAAAACATTCTTTTAAATTGTGTCGATGATGTGTCAAATTCAACTTTTTTATTCCTTCATTTTCTTGATATAAAAGTCATATTATTCGTTTCATTAAATTTCTTTTAAAAAATAAAAAAAATATCCTGAAATCGTGCATTCATTCGGAAACCAGCACAATATATTCTGGTTTAAAAAAAAACATGACGTGATCAAAAATGTTTACATGTGATATTATAACTTCTACCATACACTAAACATAGAAAGTGCATAATTTTGAAGGAAAAAACACGAAGTACACGAAGGTTTCTAGCAGTTTCTGACAGATTGCCGTCTTTGGCAACAACCTAAAACAGTAAACTGTACTTTACCTTTCAAATCGCATAATGCTTGAACATTTTTTTGGCTTAGTATATATTCATAAGCTCTTTTACAAATTTTTGTCCTACCATATGAAAGACAGTGCAAAACACGAACAAAATAAATACGTGCCCTCTGTGTTCGTTTTGTGATTTTTATTCTAGAATGGGACATAGACTGAAGTGGTATAAATTAGTAAAATGTTTTAAAGGTTTCAAATGTAGGTCGAAGGTCACATCTAAGGTCACTGGATCAAAAATTTCTGTATCAATGGAAAGGTCTTGTCATAATGAAACTCTTGTCAAATATTGAAGCCTTACCCTTGACAGCGCAATAGTTATGGGAAGGGTTAAAATTGACAATATATAGACTTACAAACAGATAGACAGGACAAAAATAATATGCCCCCGGGATCTTTTGATCTGGGGGCATAAAAAATTTAAGTCCTGCGAAATCTATATCACTATAAACAATCTTCCTTGCCTTGAACAGCATTTAAACCAATGAATTAATTGACGCTTTTCAAATCCTGCGGTTTCGACCAATCACAAAAGAGAGGAGATACATGTACATGTAAGTGCAAAGTCCGAGGCATGTGAAATATACTCCGGACCGTTGTTTGAATCTACGATGCCATGGCTCGATCATTATCATCATGCAACAATTACCTTTCGAAACTGCTTTCTGATGATATATCAATGTACATGTAAGATAAAAAGATAAGCCATTTATTTTCAATGTTTATATTTTATTAATTAAGCGTAAAAAAGATAATAAAAAAAATCAAACAGAATAAAACAATGACGTGAAAAAGGATGTGGAGGAAATTCGGATGGTACACATGATGAGACACGCCCTCTAGTCAGATTGTCTAATGTTTACACTTTGGGGTAGCTAGCCTGGGTGGCAATTCCGCACATGTTCCTCTTGTTTCTGGCCAGCATAAAGAATCCGTCCATTCCCCAAGATTCTCCCCAGCTATAAAAAATCAGACAAAAAAGCATTAGTTTCAGTTTAAATCAATACTTTATGTATAAATAAATCACATTAAAGGATGAGAAACGTCATACCTATTTTTAACCAGCCAATAATCTTCGCTTTCCTCAGATCCGTAACCAACCGCTAACACACCATGATCAAGTTTGGTGGAGCTGCAGGCAGGCTCGCTGTAAACTCCCTTCTTGTACAGCTGGAATGATTTATGTCCGGCGTCCATAGCAACGGAAATAGGACCAACGGTAGCAACAGCTTCCTGTAGTTTGCTTTCTGATTGGTGGGGAATATCAACATATCCAGTGTCTGTGGCGCCAACTTTGCTTGCCTTGAATTTGCAGAAGCCATCCTAAAATAGGAAAAAGTTACAATGAGTTGAGGTCAAGGATGAATTGATGATATGGTAAAAAAAACATATATATTATCCTACGACACCCTTTTTCTGATTTAGGAATTAAAATAAAAAGTTTTGTCTACTTTGTTTTGGAAAAAAAATGATAGGAGTTAAGTATCAAATTGAAACTATTTCATGAAATTGAAATTTGTCTACCAATGGAGCCAAAATTAAAGGAAAATATTGTTGGCGATAAAATTGATAAAGGAAAGAAGGTAGTTCATTCAGTCAATTTCAGAACTATGCTCTTTAGGGGTGGGGGTCCAATTCTCAAATGATTATCGACTATTACCTTAGCTGTGTATGGATAAGACTCTTCAGTATCGATTCCTTTGTTCATCTCGATGTATCTGAAGGCATTGTCCATCAATCCTCCCTTACATCCATGATTACCTAAAATTGTAGAAGTTATTCATTTCTAATTCTGTTATAATAGGTGCATCCATAAAAATAAAATAATAACTCATCAACGTTAGAAACTTTTAAACCAGAACACATTTGATTTGTAAGCAGGACATTTCATCTGAATTATAAAGAAATATTTTTAAAGGGTGCTGGGGGTTATACAGAAGTTATGTTTTTTTTTCTTTTCAGAGAGTGCTGCGTATAATAACCGCAAAGGTGTCCACATAGCTCCTCAGCGAATAATCAGCACTACAGATTAGGAAGTTACAAGAGTTGAAGAATGATGAAAACTCGACCCTCTAAAATTCCTTTTTTTAATCCGCGCCCAAACCTACTTAGCGTTTCTTTATAACAAAACATTACCTTCTCTCTGTGAGCAGTCTACGAGATTCTGTTCGGAGAGGGAGACCAGTTTATTGGTGGCCTTGAAATGTTGACCTTCAAGTGATCCAGTAGCGGAGAAAGACCAGCAGGACCCACAGTGACCTTGGTTTTTGACCTCTGTAACGTAACCCTTGTCTCTCCAGTCGACCTTGTCGGGAAGGTCGCCGATGTCACTAGGAGACATGTACATTTCTCCCTTTGTTCTGTTTGCGTTCATGATGTACCCATTCATGATGGCACGGAATTCAAAGATGGTCTAAATGAATTAGACAAAAATATGAATAAATGGATAAATAATTAAGATACATTCAAGATGTTGATTTCCTTCACTTATATGAATGAATAAAGATGAGGGGTATAGAAAACTTTCTGTTATGTATTCTTCGGGTCATAAAATACTTTATGAGGACTAGCCACCATATGATAAGAGAAATAACATACAAAGAATATAATCTTTAATTTGATTAGTTCAGGTGCTGCTTATCTACCCAAAAGTTTCTTTTTTTTTAAGTTCACTTCTCAATTTTTATAGTTCCATGAGCTTTTGTCTAGACCAGTAACACGCAATCCAGGAAATGGTGAAGGGGTACGTATGGGGGAGGGGGTATACATGTATGTCTACTTACCATGTCGGCATATTCGTTCTCCCCCAACCAGTAGGTGTGTTCCCCACGGTCGGCAGCCAGATTGTGTTTCTGGATGTGATGAACATTGTCCTCCCAAATCAGACGCCTGTAAACAGAAAAATGACTATGTATTGATTAAATCTTTGGATAATTTCATAGGTTTCAAAATATGTTTTTTAAAGCAATATTTTGTCCATTTTCTTTACAAAAAAGGCTCATACTTGACTTCAAAAATGTTACATTACTAAATGTTTCATTATTGCGCTCTGTGAGAAGCCCCTAGTGCCCTATTAAACATTTTCATTAGTTAAACTTTAATAAACTTGGCTATGAATATTCATAAGGGATACGTGCTTATTTTTGTAGGGAGTTCAGCCACCTTTACATTTTGTTAAATGCCTTTTTTTTTTAATTTCTGCCTTCAGATGAAAATATTTTTAAACAATACTTTACCAGAGACTGTGTTGTGGTGCATTTTTAAACTCGGTTTCTCTTACCTACTTTTTATAGTTTCACTAAATTAGAATCAAGCTAACCTGAGAGATTCTTCTTCCGGGGCATAGTTCTTTTTGTGGACTTGTTTGTATTGGACCCAATCGCTGTCCAGATCTTTGTTAAAGATCGGCGTAGCGAAAGCTGCCACGAATAAACCGGCGACCACCAATAAAGTTCTCATCTAAAGTAGAAAAAACTCAGCATCAACTGTAAGGTCTTTGTTGCTAGTGAAGAAGCTGGAGAAAATATTTTATTATATTTTCTAAGCTTTGTATTTGTCAACAAAAACATTGTAATAATATCTAATAAAAAAAAAAAAGGTTTGAAGTCTTTTCAAAAAACGTTCAGAATCTGCAAATGATTCTTTAAGTGGATAAAACATTTGATAATTCAATACTAACCATGGCAAAAATGTAATGTTAGGTACTGATGTTTAATTTTCTCTCCAATGAAACCATTTGTTTTTCAGTGTTTTTGGCTTAATTTTGGCAAACATTTAATTAAAAAAAAGTTTAAAAAACAACCAGATGATGAATTTATTATAACAGTTTTAGTCATCAAAATTAACATTAATATATCTATTCGTATTTTGGGCTCGGCCAAATTGTATTCCTCATATAGATCAGGAAGCGAAATAATACATTGACATCGATAAACACAGTAATTGTATAGATTAAGAGTAAATATGGTTATATTAGCTGCAGATCTGTAGCGTTATGGTTTTATATATTTGTCTTTGACCATAACGCTACAGATCCCGTAATGCAAAAAAGGTGCAATTTACAGCGCAATATTTTTTGCGCATTTTTGGAGATAATTTCTCTACTTTCCAGCATCGGTCAATCAACTACCTTTCACTCCCTAATTCTAGACACATTCTGTAGCCAATATGTATATTTTATCCATCTCCCAACCATTCATAGCTGTCTCAACAGGCAATAAACCCGCTTGAAGTAAAATAATTATAATCAAGCGAGTTTATCCCTTGTAGAGCCGACTATAATACCATAACGCTACAGATCTGCAGCTATGGTTTATATATAAAATGTTAAGTCATGTGATCGAAACAGAACACAGATCTGGAAAGTCGCCTTTTGAGGACTAGTCTTTGAAAGATTTCAAACATTTATAGTTTGAAAAGCAAGTGTAAAAATTGATCACTCTTGCGCAGCCTCAAGCGAGCATCTTTTTTTTCTCTTATTCTTTATTTTGTCAGATTGAATTTTATAATGCAGGTAAAAATGTCTTTCGCACACACTAAAAAGCGGTGTTAATGAAAAAATGTATTTCAGAGTAAAAGAAATATATGCACCTACCATTTAAATTATATAAAGATTAAATAATCTATATAATATTTAAAGCCTAAAACGATTACATAAATATTTCATCTCTGGAATCGTTTAGGTATCTAACTTTCCTACCTTGATCTCCTGGGGGAAAAGGTGACCGTTATTGGGTACTTTTCCTTAAATAGACACCACCGCGCTTGCGCGTGACAGGTCAGCTGACGCCTCGTGTTTTCCATGAGGTTTAATGGCATGCGACTGATAAAGATGGTCAAATGTAAATAATTGCAATAATAAAATTAATGTTCAAGGGTTTTTATTTGGATTTAACTTTCACATAAGTTATTTGGTTAAATGTCCGGATTGGTGATATCATCGGCAACAGATTAATCATCAACGTTGTTATGGAAAGTCCCTTTTTTGATTGATAAAATTTCCCGGTTAGTAGGATATTGTAAAATGTGGGTTTTCTAATATTTATTTATAGAACAACTATATACCTTTCGTGACTGAGATTATTTTATTTTTTCCTTGAATAAAATTCAAAATATCTATTGAAATCATAGAGACGAATAATATTTAATAATTTTGTATTTTTTCCTTGATGTTTTCCGAGTCGAAATGTATCAATCTTCCGCTTGCTAAACTGATACAGTCTTCCACAACAACGAAAGATTTTATCCAAATGTCACATCAGTGATCAATATGTGACTTTTAGCTGCATCAGAAAAAAATAAATTATAACTGGTACTGCAATTAAAATCTTTGGTTGTGAAAGTCGCATATCGACCGATGCTTGAAAAAAAAAAAACCTTATTTGTTGTCTATATATCTCAATTTTATATACTGAGAGTAGACAATATGAGTATGCATTTATACATTTTCACATAGTAGAAAATATTTTTTTTTTATAAATTGTCTAAACTTGATCTTTATATTTTTTCTCCCCTTTATTGTTAATCATTTTTGTTGAGTCGTTGAAAGAATTTTATATCTATGAAAAAAATATGGGAACAAACTTTTGATATGGAAATCATTGTTTTCTACGCAGCGTACTTAGTACAGAAAGGATTGCAAAGATTTTTTTAACGTTTCAATTGTCCCTAAATTGGCTTGCCAGGACAGTTCCATGTGACCCATTTATTTTTGAGGTTACAAAATAAATATAGATCTAAAAAAAGTACGTTTATTGAAAAACAAACCCATAAAAATATTTATCGTCCTCTTATCAGGGCAATTATTGATAACAAGACCACCACGGAAAACAACGACAGGCATGTTAGGAAATTTTATCATCCAAATATTTGTTTAGATTTACGAAATGAATAATACAGTGTTAAGAAAATTCGGGTCAGAAGATTTAGCACGCATTACTTTGAATCTTGTCATTTGAAATGAACTTGTAGAAATTTAGAACATTGTGAACTTAACACAATTGCAATTGAAAACTTCGACAAACTTTCTGAGAGTTCAGAGTCGTTTTTGAAAAACAATTCAAACATTGCTATTGTAACAATAGAGTGGAATAAGGTGTAATATTTTTCTATAAGAATTTTCCATTGCAGCCCATGAAATTTTACATTTTTTAAGTGTTGGTGTATGGGAATTGAGGTGGGAGAAGTTATTCAGAATTAAAGGTTTTCAAAACATTAAACAGATTGTTGATCAGGATGTTCTTTCCCTATATAAATTATGAGATGCATAATATATTACTTCCATAAAGTTAATCTGTAAATAATATATGTTTTTCACATTCAATATATTAAGTTTCTTTTCATTTACTATCGAAAAAACGACAGGTCCCTTTTTTAAAACATCGAATTATCCTTATCGGATAAAAACATATTCTTCACAGTTCGTGTTTCATATTCATAAATTGAAATGCATTTTTGAGTGGAGGTGATGCATGTGTCTGGTTTCAATTTATATTTTATGCAGCCAAGATTTACTTGAGGATTTGATAAAGTTTAAAAAGGTGTCGTTTTCGTTCGATTTTCATCCGACTACAAATTTTCAAAATATTCTCGATTATCGTCTCCATTAATTAGACGCTTGCCTTTTTCAAACATATCGAAGCGATTTGATGATCAAGACTCATTTCCATTGTTTACTTTATTTATTTCCCGGGCGACAATTGATGGTTACATCAACGTTTTCTTGTTTCATGTGTTACTGGTTATAATGATTTGATCTGAAGGGCAAATAACTTCAGAAAAATAACAAAACATACTATGTATCTCAGGGGCAAAGAACTTTGAATAAAGTAAAATAAATATGATTGTTTGTTTCATTTTTTTAAATTCTTGTATTCAAAGGCAAAAATTTTAAAGAGCACCTTTACATTAAAAAATGACATAGGTGCAAAAAAGTAGTATCAAATATGGAGAGTAGTTCACTATAACGGTACGCTTAACCTATCACGTGACGAGAGATATAAATAGACGGTCACATGACTCCCTTGTGATCGATTTGCACATTTCCCCTTGTTCAGCTAAGGAGTAGACGGTTTTCTGTTTTCAAGGTGTGTATTTCAAAGTAAAAGTAAAAAAAATAATAAATGTAAAGTAGTCTATTGTACATTAGTAAGTGTTAGAATTAGAAACAGTTTTATAATAGCCTATACATGTACTAACTAAATTAGAATGAAAAAAATCTTAAAATAAGATTAATACATATTCAGCAAGATAGACCAATAAAAAACTTATGAATGATAATAGTACTTTAAAAAAAGATTTAAAAAACACAAGTAAAAAAAAATACCATGAAGCAATGGAAATTGTATTTAGTTAGGATAAGTTATAATCTAAAAATCGTTCTGTAATTGTTATTTTTGGAAGAAAATAATCCACTTTACAATGTATAAATCGTCTTAACAAAGCTAGAGCTATTGCTTTTATCAAGGGTACAAACAAAACTTCACCAAAAAAAAAATTATTAGGTCATGTCTCAACGAGACACTTGTCTGATAAGATACAGGGTTTGTTATCAGCACAACCAAAGAATGTCGTTTTAATTTTAAAGCATTTTGAATTAATTCTTATCAATCTAATCTGGAAGATACATAACAATCAATTGTTATTTGTATTTTTTTTCGTTTTATGACTATATGATATGTTAATAACACATTTTAAGGTCAATGGAAAGCCGATACATGTACAAATAAAAGTCATCTCAATGATGTTCGACATCATTAAAACATTCTGAGTGTACACACCAGTACTTTGAACTTGATATTTAAAAAGATGCTTGAGTTTCTGATTAACAATATCTATGTGCATGGTTTTTGGAGACCAGGTTTTCCAACAATCTATTAGAATTAACATGGGTACAAATTGCCCCCCGTTATTAGCAGACCTATTTTTGTATTAACATGATGCAGAATTTGTTCAAAATCTTTATTGTTAAAAGAAGAAAAACAATAGCTTTGGCCTTTAACTGGACATTTAAATAAATCGACGACGTATTGTCAGTTAACAATACTTATTTCTATTTTATGTCGACACGATATATCCCTGTGAGCTTGAAATAAAAGATACCAAAGAGTTTGACACATCTATGGCATTTGTGGATATTTAACTAGAAAAGACATTAATGGTTATCAATTTTGATAAACGTGATGACTTTAACATTTCAATTGTCATCTTCCCTTATTTCTACAGAAACGTATTCCTGTCACGAGCATACGGAGTTTGTATATCTCAGTTGATTCGATACGGATGTACATGTTCTACTTATGAACAATTTCTAAAAAGAGGTAAATTATCGACAAACAAGTTGATGAAGCAAGAACATCAACAGTCTCGTTAAATATCATCATTTCGTAAGTTCTATCATAATGGACGATACAATGACCTCGTCAGCAAATACAATTTATCACTAAGTCAAATCTTGACTGACTTTTCCATACTGATTGTTAGGCCGTTATTTACACACTGAGTTGTTCACGGATTTTCCTGTTGTTTCCCGATCATGACAAGAAGCACGCGGCGGGTGTGTACGGTCGGCAGGGGATGCTCACTCTTCCATGGCACCTGATGTTTTGGAGGTCCGTTTTTGCTCATCTCCTATTTTGTAATGTTTTCATGGACCTTTCAGATCGAATAGTGGTCGTTTTCTCAATATATTTAACTGCATGTGTTTCATTCTTTGTTCTTAATCCCATCGAGGTAAAATTATAGAACATTTATCTCCACGGTATCTGTATTGAATGAAGTTGACATTACAATCTCATATGATAAAAGTCACATGGAATTCCTAATGTCACATGCAAACATGACATCCATACAATTCACAATATCGGACAATTCTATAAAACAATTGGATGACAGTTGACATTACAATTATCATATGATAATTTAAAGTCACACGGAATTGCTAACGTCACATGAAACATGACAAACAACAAACAATTCACATGATAAGACAGTTTTATAAAGCAATTCTGTTTCCTCTTGCACATTGTTATTCAGTCATTTGATTTATTTATCCAGATGTTGCGCTTTGCTGTCGTAGCAGCTCTGGTTGCTGTTAGTGTTGCTCGTCTGCCAGTAGCCGAGTTGGACACAGAATGGCAACTGTTCTTGAGGGAGCATGGCAAACAGTATGGATCGGAAGAGGAAGCTAGGAGGTAAGTTCAGAATCAGACAAGGCTTCGGTTTCCGGATTGATAATATATTATAAACTTTTTTTTCTAGATTGGTTTGATAGCATACCTTAAACGTAGTGCGCCCTAGTGAAATGTCTACATACATACATTTTCAAAATTAATTCATTCTCATTTATTTTAGGTTATTTCTTCTTAGTAAAAGTTTTATTTTCGTGTAATATAGGCGTGTGATCTGGGAAAGCAACCTCGACTTCATCCAGAAACACAATTTGGCGGCTGATCGGGGAGAATACACCTTCTGGCTTGGAATGAACGAATATGGAGACATGGTGAGTAGTGCCAGAGAGAGAGAGAGAGAGAGAGAGAGAGAGAGAGAGAGAGAGCTAAACATGCTCTCTGTTTCGATTTCGACATCTTGCAACATGTATAAATGTAAAAAGGCTACATGCAACTGTAATGACTATTCATGTAATTTATGATATGTGTCTTCTAGACCAACGAAGAATTTAGGAAGACAATGAACGGATACAGAATGAGAAATGGCACAAGTGGAGCTTCCCTCTACCTCCCTCCATCTAATATTGGGGATCTCCCTGACAGCGTGGACTGGAGACCAAAGGGTTACGTAACCCCAATCAAGAACCAGGTACATTGAATTTTTAAATAAAACAAAATCTCAAATTCTACTCTTTAGTCTTGAAAATTACAAATTGTAGACCTGCTTATGTAATTCTTTGAATTCATTATGCATTATTTATAAACCTTAAATCTTCATGTTTCTACAATTTAAACTACTGGAATAATTAATTTTTGGTATTGTGATCACGTTTCTTCCTAAGACGATATGATTTTCCTACTTTAGGGTCAGTGTGGTTCATGCTGGTCATTCTCGGCTACAGGGTCACTTGAAGGTCAGACCTTCAAGAAAACTGGCAAACTGCCATCTCTGTCCGAACAAAACTTGGTTGACTGCTCAACGAAGGAAGGTAATTGAGAAATAAATTAATAATAATTAACCGTAATAAGTTACAGTCTGTGCTATAAAATTGAGTATAACAAATATTCTCAAAAATATATTATAACTATATTGTAACTTTAATTAGCTTTTTGGTTGGTCACTAGAAATAAAAAATAAGAAAAAACTCGAAACAACACCATTAAGCTGTAAATTACCGAAAAAAAGATCAGATATCATATGCATGTTCACATAGAACTAAGGAATGGGTAATAGTATTTTCGTCCGAATTTCCTCCAGGAAACCATGGCTGTCAAGGAGGTTTGATGGATGACGCTTTCAAGTACATTAAGGACAACAAAGGTATCGACACCGAGGCTTCCTACCCATACGAGGCAAAGGTACGCATATAAAAGATTAATTTTGATTATGCTGGTAATCGGAGATTCGAATACTAACTTTATGTCGGTTTCACTTGTTTATGAATGTTCTTTATATTTAACCTTTGGCATCCCCAACATTAATAAGTAAATTAAAGTTCACTTTTTGTTCATGATTTTAACTTTAATCTCCAATCCTTTGACATTCTGATGTTGATTTTCAATATGAATTATTTGATTATGATTATAATTGTAAACAAATTCCAATATTACAGAACGGAAAATGCCGATTCAACGCCGCTAACGTTGGTGCCACAGACACCGGATTTACTGACATCAAGAGCAAGAGTGAATCAGATCTTCAAAGCGCCGTTGCTACGGTTGGACCTATTTCCGTTGCTATTGACGCCAGTCACATGAGCTTCCAGCTGTACAAGAGCGGAGTCTACCACGAGTGGTTCTGTAGCGAATCACGATTGGATCACGGTGTATTGGCTGTTGGATATGGCACAGAAAGCGGCAAAGATTATTGGCTTGTCAAGAACAGGTATTTGCATAACATTAAAACAGGATGACACTAATACTGGGCTATATTGCTTACCTAAATCCATACTTTTTTTTAGAAGACATCAATTTAAATCCATGATTTCAACAATTATTTTACATTTTTATGCAGCTTATAAGGTCTTGAAAAAAGTGTTTCTTTGTTGTTTGAGCGATCTTTATAGACCTTAATCAGTGCAAACAATCTTGTAATGCAAGGACAAACTTAAGATCTGTTATATTTTCAATCTTATTAACTTCATATTTGTATTTACAGCTGGGGTGAGAGCTGGGGACAGAAAGGATACATTATGATGTCCAGAAACCGACACAACAACTGTGGAATCGCCACCTCTGCCAGCTACCCAACTGTTTAAACATAGTGATAAATGGAATTATCTTCTAACTAAAGAACACTTTTTTTTATTTTTTTAACACGATATTACTTATGTAATAAAATTTCTTTAAAATACATGAAGTATTATTGTTTTATAAAAAAGGTACTGCAAAGTGGAGCATGTCCGGAAATATGGACATATCGATCCCTATGTAACTTCAGTTACGCAAGCATTAAATTTTACACATCTGCTTACCACCCTTGCAATTCCAGGGGTCTTGAGTCAACAAGTCCCATTGGACCCCTGTCAAATTTCATTAGATATATAAGGTTTGCTTCTCTCGTTGCAGTTGGTCGAGAGAAAAGAAAAAAAAAAAAAGATTTGGATTTTTCTAAAGGACGTCGCTTCAGTCAGACAAGGATTATTGAATAATGGCAACGTGTTGACTCGGTACCCGTGACATTTCAAAGATGCTATCAACATGCAAGTTTTGGTTGGTAAAAATATAACAGAGGAAATCAGAAATCGCAGATCTTACCTTAAATAAATTTGTCCTTAGTCCAACATTTAATTAATCTAGTAGTATACATCCCAATATGCAACAGTTAATATGCAAATTTGATCTGATAGAGTTCATATACTCGGGAATGGACTTATCTACGGATTTCAAACTAATCACTCATCCAGAAAATGTAATTTAAATCCAGAAAGTAAAACAACATTAAAAGTATCCCTCCCTTGATGCATTATCCATTCAAATTTTATTCATATGGACCTTATAGTTTATTGCTAATAAATTTGCACCACAAGTATTAACCTGGTCATCATCTTGAATACGCAAGTCAAATCTAGAAATCAAAGCAAGATTCGCGTATCATCCATGTGAGGTCAAGGGTTGGTAAACAATTGCTTTAGAAAAAACATGAACAAAAACCTTATCCTGGTCTACAATCGCATCATCTAGGGTCTTTCCGTCAGAGGTCGGAAAAACAACCTCGAATGTATTAACATCGCCGGATGTTAAAAATTTATACATTTCCTGTTTAGTCAAATGTAGGATAGACGGAGTTAGAAGTCCCTTCTATAGTATATTTTAGGTAATATCATTACCTTGAATAAAGTTAAACTCCATATTCCACAGATAAAAGGTCTCCATGCATTTATTTAAAAGATCATGAAAAAGGAGGGTTGTCATGGCGTCTACCATATACATTCGAGGTCGTTTTTCCGCTAGTCGGAAAGGCCCGAAAAGTTGCGATTGCCTGGTCTATTGTCTTGGAAATGTAGTTTACATCCAGCATCCAGTGCAATTCCAATAGTGTTCATTCTTAGAAGTATCATCTGTGCAAGTCAAGCGCTTGAGGTGCAAGTTTGGTCAACATAAGTTCTACTGTAACAGTAACTTTAGATTGAATCTGCTTCAAAACTTTAACCTGGTCACTCATCCGGAGAATCTAGGTCACATCCAGTACCGAGCAGGTTTTCTTGAAAACATAACGAAAGGTAGGATCTTTCACTGGTATTTTATTTTTCTACTGAATAAGAGAGAATTGACGATTGAAAATAATGACTTTTAAAAGTCATTTACAGATATTTTACAGTGTTTCATCTATGTAATATTTAGCTTGTAACAAGATACAATGAAAAAAAAAAAACATTGTTCATACAATAATTGACAAAGCAATGCTGACAAAATTAAAACGAAGACGATATGGATGAATGAAAATTTATAGATACAAACCGATGTATGGATGCACAATACCCATAAAAATGCATGTTATTTTCATCACATAATGGGGTAACTAAGGCTGTTGGCTATACCACATTGGTTATTTTTATCCTTTGATAACAATATGTATCCTTTATTTCCCCACGATGTACCCCAGCTGAAAAAAAATTAAATGTCATAATAACAATTCAAAAGTGTACTATTCATTATGATATGTTAATATGCAAATATTTCAATTAGAGGACAGGAATTTGGAAAATATTTTTAAAAATACGATATTGTACATGCACCGGGTACCTGTTTTTAGCAATCCAGTATTTTTTACCATCCAGAACACCGTACCCGACTATAACAAGGGAATGATCTACTTGTGATTTACAGTTGGGTTCGTCATACACCCCGCCTTTGTACAACTGAAAGGATCTTTGGGTCGCATCTAAAGCAGCCGAGATAGGACCCACGATAGCTACGGCAACCATTAAACTCTGTTCAGATTTTGGGACGTCCTTATAACCCTTAACTGTGGCTACGACTGCAGTTTTGTTGAACTTACAAGATTCTTCCTAGGGGAAAAAAGAGAAAAGATTAAAATGCCCTAAATATTATTCGGATTCCTGATTATTATAATTATAAAATCAACACAATGTGAAAATAATGGCATACCGATTTTCTAATGAAATAAATTCATCAACAAAACTAAGCATGTAACTTTTATCGTGGTTTATATGAAATATCTTTGTTTAGAAAACAATATCTGATATGTAAGAAGACAACTGATACGTTGTCACGTCAAATAAGTTTCTAATAGATTAAAGTAAGCATCATCATCTCAAGCCAGGTCCGGAGTCCGCATGTAGCTCTCTCCTACCCGTGGCTGCTTGATCACATAAATTGTCTTAATCTTGAATATTTACACCTCTACGATATGACGTCATCTTTAGCGAATGACAATATTTGTTTCCATCGCAATTGAAATCAACATTGGCATCATCAGTGAATAAAAAAATTTTCGTTGAGTGTGATTGGCTATTGAAAGGTCGCGACAAAGTTTATTTTCCTACTATGCTTTACTGGCATTAGTCAATATTTTAACGAAGTACGAACTATTCTCCTCTCATTCAACCACGGCCAGAATGGGAGAGGATTGTACATTTTGGCCGTGGTTTGCGACGATAATTAAGCATTGGATCACTGGAATTACCTTAGGCCTTGAACGATTTCTTAAAGCGTATAGAGAACAATTACCTTAGGCGTATACGGATATGTAGCATCACTCTCTATTCCACCGACCTCCTTAACGTATTTGAAGGCAGAGTCCATCATACCGCCTTCACAACCATGGTTACCTGGACAGAAAGTAGAATTGTCCAAGCCACACTAAGCTAAAGTTATGTCCCTTTGATAGTTTAAATGAATGTGGGAAAAAATAACTCTGATATCTCGAATCATATGATATCCCTCTCAAAGGTCCATATTCTTGAGTTCGAGATAAAAAGGTTTGACTGTACATGTAGTTCAATCCACACTTTGCAAAAGGTATACCTTGATTAACTACAAATAAGGCAATAGCTTCATAACCTCATAAAGCAATTTGCTCAACACATGGCAAAAATGTAATAGTATGCTTTCTCGTTGTGTGCTATTCACATAAATACGACGCTTATATCTTTTAATTATTGAACAAAGATTAAGTCAGCAGCTGTTCTTTCCAAAAAAAAAAAGAGAACATTTTATTTTAAACCTGACTTAAGGCTTAAATGACCTACTATGTAAAGATCAACGCTTAAAGCTACATATATTTCCATGTCTTTTACAAATATTTTAGAATAATGAATTAGACCTCTTTTTTATTTTCTTTATAAAAATACATAATTTATATTCAGCTGGATTATTATTCATAAAAGGTTGATTACCTACATGATATATTTATTTCTGTACAAATGTATGTATATGGAACAAAGCAATCAAACAAGGTTAACTTATGGATCTTTCATATAGGACGAACTCCATTAATTTTTCTGTTGCCGAACGACACTTGATAACATACCCCATTTTTCACTGCAATCCATAAGTTGCTGCACAGACAGCACAATTAACTTGCCCGTCTTGTTCTTCACCTGACCTTCAAGCGCCCCAGTAGCGGTGAAGGCCCAACAGGAGCCACATGCAAACTGAAGAAAAAATACACTGATACAGGGTACATTCGCATGGACAAATGCTTGGGAGGTTTAATGCACTTGCACATGATTTATTCGTGGAACAGTTATGGTTTTCATGCAATGTAGTTGACAAATGCTTGAAAGATTTCATGCACTTGTGCATGATTTAGTCGTGGAACAGTTATGGTTTTAATGTTATGCAGGGTGATAAATTTGCTACAAAATTTCATTTGTAAGATCTGATGTTTTAATTAAGGTTCTGGATAAAGCCAAAAAGCAACTTTATTGGTTTTTAAAAGCATGCAACCATAAAAAAGTATTGAATAATTATTCTTTACTTTGAAATGGAATTAGATACAGAAACCCATTACCTGATTTCCAACTGGTCCAACCCACCCTTCTTTCCTCCAATCTACTTCCGAAGGCAGACCGGAAGTGTCTATTGATGGACCGGAAGTAAATGTAATATCCGTGTCTGAGGTGGATATGAATCCTCCAGCGAACTGCTGGAGAAACTCTTTATGGCTCTGTAAAAATTCAAGGACATTTCCAAATAAGCAGAAAAATTACCAGTCGATATAAATATGAGATGAAACAAATAGTCAAATCCTTCTATTCCAAATACTGTAACTTGTTAAGAATTCTTCTGATTTTTTCCCCACAAATCTCAGAGTTATCCTTATTTGGATTATATAACGATTTTAAAATGTTTACCAAGTCACTGAATGAGTTCAGTCCCATGAAATATGACTTTTCCCCTTTATCGAATTTTTCATTATGCTGGTTGATGAAATCAAGATTTTCTTTCCAAATCTCCCTCCTGACGTTATTCAAAAAAAAAAAAAAAAAAAAAAAAAATAGAAATAAAAAAATAAAATAAAAATAAAAATAAATAATTTAAAAAAATGAAAGTTTAAAAAAGTATCAAATGTTTATTCAAAACCTTATACTCTTCTTAAGCATTTTAGACAAAAAATATTTAAGATTTTGAATTAACAAAATATCAGAAAGTCTTCTTAATTCAAAAATTGTTTGCAATTTGCTATTTCAAAAAAACGGGCTTGTTTTAATGTATGTGACAACAAGGTGTACTTTGAGATCACTTTCGTAATTTTTTTTAGTACATTTAAATTAAAGTGGCTTTGCATTACTTGCCTTTTCGTCTCTTCCGTTTCCGAAACATACCACTTCCGGTATTGCTGTCTGTACGTTTCCCATTCAATGTCTAAATCGGATATTCTAGCAAAGCACGGAATTGACATAGAAGTCAGAAGTATTCCGAAGAGGAAGGGTCTCATGACTTTCAAATTTGAAAAAAATAATGATATTTTAATTCACACTGCAATCACACAATAAAAGTTTAATGAGATATTTCCTCTCTACATAGAGAAACATTTGCGTTATGGTAAAAATCGTGTCTTTCCTACAAGAGAATTTCGTCTAATTGCTTTCATTATATAATTAGTATTTTTTCATTACTTACAAGTTCATTTTTGAAAAGTTTATTTATAATTCTAAAACTATCAAAATAAGTAGCTATCCCTTGACCATCACTGTGTCTAAGTATATATGTTAGTTGACCAAAGCAACATTACATCAGCTTAACCTATGAAAAAAAAGCCGACAAGGCAGTAAAGCATGTACCACGCATTTATAAGATCATTTTTTTGGCTTCGTACAACCTAACGCAGTTTTGTGTATGAAATATATTATCATAATACTATTTCCTATGAAGATGTGTCTTCGCTCATCAAACGATGGGTAAAATCTTTATTAATACAGTTTTCGAATTTCAAATCTCTTTACTATAACCCCCCAGACAATTATATAAAGTATAAATGTATACATATATTGTTGATAAAAATTATAGAAGCAAACTTTCTCCAATACCAATGTGCCCGGTCCTTGTATTAGGGTACCAATGTACTTAACCCATAAATATTACACAATGATACCCAAAGAAGCGTCCAAGTTCACGGATCCCCAAGGTCCGACTAATATAAGGAAATTACCCATTTACGAAACAAATAAGTTGTTACCTGAAGATGGGAACAAACACAACCGAGGAATCCTCCGATATCAGGTCACAGGGGGATATAGGGAGGACCTTGACCCCCGTCATGTGTCAGTTATCTAGGTCTTTGTTTATTTATTATCTCAAGTTGTGAAACCGGGCTAGGTTTTTTTAAGTGTATTGTTTTACTCAAGTTTAGTGCAATGTCATGTTATACTCTTGTAATGCTGTAATGTTCTATTTTGTGCACCTAACATACTCAATAATACATAAAAAAATACATGTTAATTAACAAATAAATAAATTGAGCTTAATTGAAGAAATTTAAATATGTCACTTTGTTTTATTATTAAAATTGTTTTAAAAAGGCGGGTGGGGTTATATTTACAAATTTGCAAATTTATGTGATTAATTAGTTTCTAGACAATACATTTAATTGATTATATATGTATTCTAGATAAAAGAAATTTGCAAAAAAAAAAAAAAAAAAAAAAAAAAAAAAAATCACGAGAAAAGTTCAGAAAAAAGTGTAATATACAGTCTTCATATATAAATCTACTGGAATTGGCATTCCTAGTCATGTTTGCATAATCTTACATAAATTGCAGCAATCTTATTTCTTTCAACTTTTTTTTTTCTAAATACTATTATTTCAATTATATCGCCTCTTGTTTTAAAACATAAATTTTGTTCATTACAAAAAATGATATACTCCGAAAAAATAAGCATCATAACAAATTGAAACAACAATATTATGCCCTTACATTTGTGTTTTAAAACACAAAAAAAAGTAATGGGGTATTTTTTGTGGTAAATTGGTATTCTGCAGCAAGTTTGAATTGAGTTCAAAGAGGTCAAAATCTCACTTTGAGGCGCAATACACAGAGTCTTATCAACGAAGAAATGTCTTTCTCCTTAAGGTTGAACGATGTCATTTAATGTTTATTTTGTTACGTTATTTAAATTAAATTTACTTTAAAAATGCAGATGAAAAACATTGTTTTTATTGACATGATGATAGGATTGGAAATACATTGATTGACATTTTATAAAAAAAAAAAATTAAATGAAATGGTAATATAAATTCCCCTTGCCGCACCCCACTGGTGTTTGTATAGGAGATATATTCTGATTGTTTGATTTTATTCCTGTTGCCTTCGTCCGTCCTAAAGGTATGTTTTTTTCCCCCGAAAGTAAATGGCTTTAATTAAGTTAAATTTGAATTTAATAAAATTTAAAATTTTAAAGTTAACGAGAAGTCCCTTCTTTTTATTATTGCTGGCAAAATAGAATGTATCGGTGTGGAAATTGAGTTAGCATTTTTTATTTGAAATATATATAATCTAAAATGAAAATCCTTATTTAAACTTTTGAGCATTACCCTTGTTTGTTTACATTATTGAAAACAACGATTTGAGATAAAATCCATAATTTTTCATAATGATTTTTAATACCTATTCAATGTTTTTTTTTGATTTCTTATGATAGTTTGCAAATTATCAATATGTATCAAATAGGTATGGTTATAATTAAATAGTTTCCTCCTTTTCAAGAATATACTTCCATCCTGTTTAATAAAGACACCTTGAAAAAATAGATATATAGTTAATAAAAAAAACTCGTTTGAAAAAATCTTTTATCAAAATAAGAGAAGAAAACCTCTCCGTTTATTTTTTTTTTCTTAATCCACAGTGGTTAGGTAAAGTAAAATGAAAGTAACAACACGAATTAAAAGATTTTTAAAAATGAATTTGAGTTCAACCTAGGCAGAACCGACCCCTTTTATCTTGTAAAAAAGAAAACAAATGAAGACAAGGCTGCTTAATCCAAGAGAATAATAATTCAAATAACAAAAACTGCTATTATAGGTCGAAACACTTCTTATTAGACTTGTCGTGTATGAATTGATTAATGTTGTAGATGCTGCGTCTGGTTTTGCTTGCTGTGGTGACCGTTCATGCCCTGGCTTTCCAGTTTGACGTCACGCTGGACAATGAATGGGAAATGTTCAAAGTCACCTACAGGAAAACCTACGGGGTCACAGAAAGCGCCAGGTGACAGCGCATGCGCATTGCACTCAATGCTGTTTCAATAATTTTTAATCTTTATAAATAACATTTACATTTCGAAAACATGCATGTTAATAAAAGTCAATATATAGTGTATATGTATCAATATTAATCTCTCAATCAACCAATTAATCAATGATTTTTTTTTCAAATAAACCATTGACCAGTATTTTTATCAATCTTTTGCAGACGACAGATTTGGGAGGATAACGTCAGACTGATTGAGAGACACAATCTGGAGGCGGATCGTGGAGTTCACACCTACTGGTTAGGAATGAACGAATATGGAGACATGGTAAATTAGACTGAGATAAGGTGTTGAATATTGATATTTATAAATAACAGTAAGAGATTAAAATGGTAGGACTACGATTCCTCGAACATATGCCGAAAAAGTCAAGAACTTTGCAAATACATATGCAAGACTTCTTAGAATTGCATAGATAATGAAAAAATCGATGAGAATTTTTGTTGGGACTCCGACATACTGATATTTTTCCATTTTGATATTATTCAAGAAATCGGATTTATAAGTTACTATCATTTTTAAATCCCTAATTCCTTATTATAAAATACTGAATTTAAATAATTGACTTGAAAAATTGTATTTTCTTTTTTTTCAATTGTACTCTCATTGAATCTAGACAAACGAAGAATTCACACGAATCATGAACGGTTTACTGATGCCGAATAAGACAGAGTACAACTTGTTCGAACCAACTGAAGATTTAAAGGACCTTCCCGACACAGTCGACTGGAGACCGAAAGGTTACGTCACCGAAGTCAAAAACCAGGTAGGCGTGATAAATAACATACACTACAAATATCATACACTGTATGTGAATTTAAAAGTGAGAAGGCAGTTGGACCGAACAGGTTAATTCTTTTCGGAAAAGTTAAGATTGAACTGTAATAGAATTAAAATACAAAATCTTTTTAAATGTTTATTTGGCAGAAACAATGTAAATATTGATTTTACAAAAAGTAAATTTATGTTCTCTCGCAATGAGATAATGATTTAGAAAGTTTACGTAGCAAGAAAGATAACTCTGAAAAACTTTGAACTCTGAAAATCTTTCCAGAGTTGTTGTTCCCGCTACGCATCTTTGAACGCTCGTAATGTTCAAGGTTCTTGGAAAAACTAGAGGATAATAAAATTATATAAAATTCACCAAAAATGAAGACTAATTTCATCATTCATTCGATGGAATTTTTTTTTATGAAAGATCGTAATATTTATTCCACCCAAGTTTGTTCGCAAACAACGGAGATTTATAAGCAGATTTTTTTTTTAGAGAAATAGTTTTCTAATAAATGATAGAATGTCCTCTTTATTGATTATTACATTTATTTCTTACAATTATGAATTTAAAACTTAATTTACCAAGAATTTTGCTCAAGACGGTTGATGGAAGTATTTAGAGTGTAGGGAGAAAAAATTATGGTTAAAGAATGAAAAAACATTATTGAAAATCTTCTTAGCACTAACGATATTAATTGAATGTCTAGTGCAATTTTAAATTTTACACGGAAAAGTTTAGTATTTATTTTCTATAACAACAGGGTCAGTGTGGCTCATGCTGGGCTTTCTCCACCACGGGGTCACTTGAGGGTCAACATTTCAAATCCACCAATAAACTGGTGTCCCTTTCCGAGCAAAACTTGGTGGACTGTTCCAAACCGGAAGGTAGGTTGAAGCTAATTGTAATGTTGAAAGGATAATGATAGTTAATATCTCATTCAACTGCTTAAGTCTCATAGTAGTTCCATATTTATATTGCCTGCTCTAGACCTTTTACGTATAGCTGAATACTGATGCATAAGTTTAAGTTTTACAAATAGCGAGCGCAGCGTAGCGAGCTCAATAGACTAACGTATACGAACAGAGGAAATTCGGGTTGAAATCTGCACATTGTTCCAAGAAATTTTTATCGTCCCAAGTGATAAATTCCAAAC